CTGTCCCTGTCCCGGTGGGCAGCACCACCGTGGTAGCTGAGCCTTCGTGGTTGACCTGTCCGGCTTCTTGATTGAGTTCTCGTGTGTTGGCAATTGAATCCCAGCTCTCCTTTCTCTGAAGATTGCTGAGCTGAGAAGTAGCTTCTTGCAATACCAGTTCACCCTGCTGATCCCTTGGATTTTTTTTTTTTTTTAAGCAGTAGGGAAGCTGAAATATTGGTTGTGAATAGCAGGCAGGTGTGGCTTTGCTGATGGGAAAGCTGTTCCTCTAAATATCAAGGGCTGGCACTTTCTCTGTGTGCCCTTTGTTTTGCTTTAGTGTATTTATAAAGAAGTATTTTCTATTTGAAAGACCTCTGCTAGAAAAGTTAATGTTTTGACAGTGAATTCTTAAATAAAAAGACACAGATAAGAGTATTTGAAAACACAGTGGAGCCGAGTTGCCAGCAAGCACACGCTGAGTTCCTGGAAAATTCCTTTTTCTCTCGTCTTTTTGTCTTTCCTTCCTCCTCGTTTCTGTGTCGTGCCTTACAGCATCCTTGGGGCAGCCAGCCCTGAGCCCTGCTCTGCTCCAGCCACCGCTGCTGCTCGCTCCTTCAAATGGAGCACTGCTGAAGTGCTGCAGCCTATCAATACTACCTTTAATTAAGTTAATCTGTTTAATCACTTTCCTAGCTAATTGTTGATTCAGGAGTGGGAGGGGATTTGTAGCTCATTGATTTAGGAGTTTGGGGATTTGGGGATGGTGGTAGGGGATTGTTAATCATTGCAGTAATGTACTGTGGACTTTAATTGGCAGCAACCTGATGGAGAGGAACGTTACTCTGTGCACTGTAACCCCCCCCCCACCCCAAAAAAAAGTGTGCTGCAGAGGAGGGTGGATGTCCCAAGGGAATGTGCCACCCGGGCACAGTGCAGAAGGGGGTGGCTGGGCTGCAGTAGTTGCCCCCTCCTGTGCTCACTCTCTGCTCTCTCTGTCCTCTCTCTCCCCGGCAGGCAAGTCGGAGGTGGAGCAGTGGTCCGACATGTACACAGTGACCAGCCAGCTGGTGCTGAAGGTGGGACGGGAGGACGATGGCGTCCCCGTCATCTGCCTGGTGGATCACCCTGCTGTCAAAGACTTGCAGACGCAGCGTTACCTAGAAGTCATGTGTGAGTAGCAGAACTTTTAATTCTCTGAACTTTTAAAAGTGCTCACCTAAGAGTTCAGGAACTATTCACTACCTGCTAAAATTACAGTGTAGATGGCGTTTATGTCCTGTTATTTGCAAGTTGAAATCAAAATGTTGGGAACCGCTTCAGGGGTTAAGCCACGACTTCTTCCGGCCCTTCCGCGATGCGACAAATACACACCTGCATTCTCCTATGAAATAACTTACTGTATGTAGAATTTGCACCATCAAAGGCTCCCGGCTGGGCTGTAGAGTTGTCAGAACAGATTAAATCTGAGTGGTTTTCTTCTAGCAACCTACTTTCTCTTTGAAAAGTGCTTCTCAGCTACCACATCAAAGGGACTGGCCACCATTGCGCCTCTCCTGCTACCGTGCAAAAGAAACTCAGTCCTGTGCATTGTGAACAGACAGCCCCGTTAGAGGGTTTCTAAATCAGAGTAACGTCAATGACGTGGAATCTGTAGTGACACCACCGCTTAAGGCCAGGCTGTTTTCTCTAGTGCTCCTAGCATGTTTGCTGTTAATAATGCATCTCACTTTGTTTAGGAACTGCTCCACTGCGTGCGCCGTTAACGAGGTTTGTGAGCAGGTACCTGCGGCTGCCGGTGGGGCCCACCGCAGCAGGGCCCGTCG